CCCCAACCAGTCTTTGGCGCAAACGCCCAACCACAAGGAGGGCAAGCGTAAGTGTCCGACGTATCTACATTTATGGGGAGCAACTTCCAAGACATGTTCCAAATCCCAACCAGGATACTCAAGAGACCAATGGATCAACCCGATATGAGGCTCCATGAGTATCACACGTACACTCCTCAGCCATCATCATCATCATCGACGGCATGACATCAGTGTTCAACATCGATACTTCGATGCCGTAAAACCACAGTTTATTTGAAAGCTTTGTTGTGCTAGCTTACAACAATCATTCCGAAGTGCTTACACCTCCCAACACTCGTTCAGGCAATCCGGTAGAAACTGATAACAAGATCACCACTGACATCGGTTGGCAACCACATCTTGCACCGTCTCCAATCAGGCGCAGAGGAACATGTGGTCCCCATCCTGGAAGGCGAGTAGTACATACTCCTCCACCAAGTCAAGGGTTGGCCACCTCTCTGTTTACACCACTCTGAATTCGACATGGATAACAGCACTCTCTTCGGCAAACGATGGTTAGGCATACGCAATACATGTCCCAACCAACGAGGCTCCTGGTGTTGGACACATTCTTCAATGGAAGTACCCGTTGCACAACCGAAAACTCGCTTTCCAGCTGCCTCGTCATGGATACACCGACACCAACCCATACGAGCTATGGTTCCAAGATAACGAATGTTGAACACCTGAAGACGTCTCAGTTCCGCTGCTCGAACAGGTCAAGTCTCACAGCCATAGAACAACATATCCCGCACTATAGCCTGATACACAAAGATATACCACTTTGGCACCATAGGCGTCTCATATTAGCAAACGCGACCCGAAACTTGTAGATTTGTGCATTCACCTCATCTGTCACACTACAATCAGAACTAATAAAAACTTCCAAGATACGTAAAATGCTCCACGACTTACAGTGCCTCCCCCTGGACTGTAAGTGGCGTGTCCAGTAACTGCATGTCCAGGAGCATGAGCCTGCACTCTGTGGGTCCGAAATGCATACCAAAGGACGGGATGACTTCGGTCAGTTCATCACTTACGCCTTCTTCTCCTCTCCAAAGATGAAAACGATGTCGTCTACATATTCCAGATCGACAAGGTTTCCGTCATACACTACTAAAACACCAGGTTTTTGGAGACCCCCCAGCGTTCGTCTCATGATTTCATCGACCACGAAGTTAAACAGGAATGGGGAGAGTGGGCATCTCTGACGGACATCACTTTACGTGACGAAACTTTTGAAGAGCTCGCCGCATAATCTCACATGTCCGGAAGTCTGGGAATACAAAGAGCTTATATGTTCACGAACTTACGGGGGATTCCTTGGTGAGCAAGCGTTTCAAGCAGAACAGACCGGTCAATCGAGCCAATGCGCCTTGGAAATCTGGGAACACTAGAATTGCGGGTCGCTTATACGTATGGCGTTGTTCTAGCACCTGACAAAGTTTGAAGATCTGGTCAAAGCAACCTCTACCAGGCCGGAATCACGCTTGCTGCTCTCGAGTCCGTGTTTCACGAGCCTCCGTAGGGCGACGAAGCACAATTGACGCCAACAGTATCGTTGCGACCGGGGTCAAGCTAACTCCCCTGTGGTTGCCGCTGACTAACACCGCTCACTATCACCGACTCTCCTCAGTTGTCCGGGACAGACCCATTTTCCCAAATGTAACCAAACTTATCAGACAAGTGCTGACTGAGAACTTTACCCCCATCTTTGAACAATGCGGTTGGGAGGTCATCCGGACCAAGCGCTCGGTGGCGCTTAAGGGAACATATGCAGTCATAAACCTCCAAGGCCGTAGGCGGTTACACGTTCACCGCCCAGGGTTCTACGTCACCTGTGGGCTCCAGATAGGTGCCAGCTTTCGGTCATGACAATTGTTGCTCGAAGTATTCGTCCCATCTGTCGAGGCGTTCTTCTTTATTCAAGATGTTCACTCCGTTCCTATTCTTAATGGTTCCGTTCACAGGTGGTTTCCGGGGACCGATGGCACGGATCGACTGAAACAATCTTCGGGCAGTACCGGCTTTCTGGGTCTCTTCTTCGACAAACAGACACCGGTCAATGCAAAGCGCGTCCAGTGTGAGAGCAAATGCAGCTTGTTGTCCTGCTTGTTTCATAATGAGGACATTGAATACGGCCAGATAGACTGGGTATCGAATGATTGGAGACTGATTTGTAGATACCTGAGGATGTCGGTGCCATTTGATGAGCAGACGATGCACGCAAAATTGATGCAAGACGAACGGAGTCACCAGTCCTAAGTGCTCGGCCTACAGGAGAATTATTAATGGAATGGGGAGAGGAAGAAAAAGTGTGTGAAAGAAAAAGAAGGGAGGCGCCAGCAGTAGCCTGCTGCTGCTTATCCGCCCTGCCGTGTACAGCGAGAAAGGCGACCCGGCTGATGGCACCGCGCAACGGTCAATGTTGCATGAGTTTATCTGTATACGTAAGTTCGTGGTTGTACGCGGGCTGGGATACTGTCAGGGCACCCACACACAGACAGGACGATTAGGGTCCTTAACAAAAGCCTTTTGCTCAAAAGCAAGGCAGCAGTTTTTGGCTTGAAATGCAAGTACATTACCGGTTCTACGGAACAAGTGCCCACATGTTCCAACTCCCAACATGGTTTGTCAGACCTCTAACCATTGACCAGCCTGGTATGAGGCTCTGAGTGTCGCCGGACACCCCCAGTATAGCTCAATGGGTCGCTGAGGTGCGCACGTCACACCACGGTAAAGTTCAGTCTATTCGTGACAGACTCCCCAGTATAGGTCGGGGGTATGGATGTGCACAAACCATCAAACCGTGGTAAGATCCAATCTCTTCATGATGACAGCACTCATTTAGTTCGTGGTCGCGGGCTGGGATACTGTCAGGGCACCCACACACAGACAGGACGATTAGGGTCCTTAACAAAAGCCTTTTGCTCAAAAGCAAGGCAGCAGTTTTTGGCTTGAAATGCAAGTACATTACCGGTTCTACGGAACAAGTGCCCACATGTTCCAACTCCCAACATGGTTTGTCAGACCTCTAACCATTGACCAGCCTGGTATGAGGCTCTGAGTGTCGCCGGACACCCCCAGTATAGCTCAATGGGTCGCTGAGGTGCGCACGTCACACCACGGTAAAGTTCAGTCTATTCGTGACAGACTCCCCAGTATAGGTCGGGGGTATGGATGTGCACAAACCATCAAACCGTGGTAAGATCCAATCTCTTCATGATGACAGCACTCATTTGGTTCGTCTCGACCCCGATCTGGCTAGAATACTGGGACTACAAAGTAATGCGGATGACGAGGATTAGTTGCAGATCGAATGGGATTGGGTTGAAGAGGCTATGCTCTCAGCTTTCAGAACTACGTGTCCAGACTGTCGGATTATACTTAATGAACAGTATGCATAATAGGGATCAGCAGATATCATTGCTGTTAGAGGGGCGAGATGGCTCAGTGGTCAGAACGCGAATTTACTGACCAGAATGTCCGTGGTTCGAACCAGACCTCTACCTCTCGACTTGCCCTGTCTAGGCTTAGGCGACCTGGTAGTACACCAGCCCTCGTGCCTCCGTGCAGCATGACAGCTAGGCACCGAAAGGGTGTTACAGCTGAACGATCTAGCCAGATCAGGTTGGTAACCTTGAGCTACCGAAACTTATCGAAGTTGACGAACGGATTTGGTCTGCTTTAGGATGCGCAATGCTGGTGGAAAGGAAGTGACAACCAGTACTGCGCAATGGTAATCTTTTATTGAGACTTTGAATCGGTAACTGACAGCCACATGGTCCAGTTGGGTCCATGACTGGCTTGTGGCTTTCAAGTAACCCGATCTGGGCGTGTAAGCCAAGTTTGTACTGACCCGAAACCGATAACGTTTAGCGCACAACTGAAGATGCCCCCTCGTCCCATTATCCGCCGGCTGAACATAGGCTCCGAAGCCACCACCTAATTTTGCATCTCCCGAGCTTAGTCAACCAATCACCGCTGCCTTTCGGTTAAAACTATGAGCCCTAGACTTGCATTGGGAATCCTAATAATGCTCCTGTCTAGGTATGTGCACTTCGGTAGCATCCCACCCAAAAAATTGCACATCTACTAATAGTCACACGTCACATGGATCGTCGAGTGATGCCATCAGACTTACCAGCTGCATACGACAGCATGGATACGCAAAACGGGATGCTTCTGATGAGTCCTTACTTGCTCATTCACAAGTTCATTCTTTCCACCTTCCTCACTCTACAAAAACCGGTAATGACTAAGCATTCCGGTGCGGATGACTTAGTGGTTACAGCGCGAATTTACTGACCGAAAGGTCTGTGGTTCGAACCCGATCTCTGCCTCTCGACTTCCCTTGTCTAGGCTTGGGTAACCTGGCAGTGTCCAAGCCCTCGGGTGGGACAGGCAGCCGCATGGCAGCTCGGCACCGAAAGGGGGCTACAGCTGAATGATTCCGGTGGGGAGGAGGACCAGGCAGTAAAGTAGGTGGCGGGTCAAGTCCCAGGTACTTCGTTTGCCGACGAGATTCACCACAGAGGAGACAGCGAGCTGAGCCCCAATTGGATAAAATAGATATATTTCCCAAGAATCGTCTCGTCTTTCGAGAGGAGTGAGTCGGAGTGGCCCAGTCCGCAGGCGCACCGGACCTCCATGATGTGCTGGTAGGACAGCCAGAAGTGATGGAAACGAGGTAATTACTGATAATGAGCACCGACAGTTGGAAAATATCGTGCCGAATGGCTTGGATCAACGGTTGGCTATCTGGTGCACACTTCAAAAGAATGGTAAAGTGGAGAGGCGATAGTCCAGTTTGCGCCTGTATTTTATGACTGTTTGTTGCTACTTAATCACCCAAACCAGGAGACAGGTTATCAACTACGTGTCTACGTAGTGGCTCACGTATGGGTCTAGTGAACCCATTGACAAATGTGCGATTCAACGAAGCAAAATGGATCAACATACCACAAACAAAAACGTACCTTGATATTCTTCATCCAAAATTTTCGCTTCAGCTTCCCTGCGCTCGCTTCGAACTGTGAAGCACCCGCCTGCAAAACGTCTACCAAAGCTTATAATTCCATTGTACTTCTTACCAGCGCGATCGTCTAGTTGTGACAGTTTCTGATCGCGCTCTAGTACTTTCTCCACGTTTGTCCGCATTATGTCAACAACCTGGGAGGTTGGAAATAAGATTAAAATTGAAAACTACTTCATCCACTTGTGCTTGTGTTTGCTGAAGCCGTTTGTTGGCAGGTAATTGACGTGGAGTTTCGCTTTGTCTGAAAAAAATTGTCAACTAAACGGAGTATATTACCCAGCATCTCCTGGTACATTAGATACTACCGGCATCGACCTGAAAGTGATATAAGTACGAAAGGAAAAACACACATTGCGTGTGGGCGACCGCCTTAGGTTAACCAAAACACTCCAACGCACAATTGGTATGTTGTGGAGGCCGACCCTTCTGATTGGCCGATTCAGTTCAGTATTCGGTATTCAGTTCACGTCTTTCGCAAACCCACTGCAGAATCATGGGAGCCCAAACTCTTTGGGTATCCACGTCGGGCAGTGGGAAAGTCGGGCTAGTAGCAGTACGGTGGGAGGAAAATTTGCTGGGGAAGCGAACGTTCACAGCACTTATAACTGCGGCGGGCAGTCATGGGGGAATATGCAAGTACGTGTTAGTATGGGAAGAGATGACCGCAGAATGTGCCTCCTGTTTGCCATTTATTATGCGTAAGCAGTTTTTCAAAGACCGGGATTATTATCTTTGCTCTTGTTAGGGACGGGTAAAAAGGGGATGAATACATTGCTGGAAGGTGAAGGTAGACTTCGTGTCAAAACGGAGCTGGCACCACCGAAGGGAAGCGGCTAACATCCGTCCAGTGGAAGACCTTGAGCTCATAAGCACACATGCTGGTTGTGTGAGGAGGAGTGAAAAAAATGAACGGACTGCTGCTGAGGACTATGGGTTTGCCGAATCAACGGCGGAGTTAACGGCACAGGATTCGAGAGCTAATGTCCAACTATTCAACCTACGCGGTTGTATTTTAATGGCCCTACATTCCATAGTAATGTTTTATCGCACGCAAACAAGATTACCTACATTTGGCTGCACTAACATGGATGAGGTCCGGGGAAAATGGTGAAAATCAAGCTTTCTTGAAAGCTTGAATAGGAGGGGGTGAATCGGGTTATGATTGTCACGGACATTACAGAGAAATTAGAATTTATGTGTAAAAGAACAAGCTGTGTGAAGCTTCATGCACCCAGATGTTAGAATGGGGACTCAAGAGGGCTTCACTTTTCCCGCTAAAAGGTTTATTCGCTCGAATTTCTTTTTGTATGCGGTACGCGATAGTAAGGGCCCGAGAAAGCAACTGAAATCACCCCGATATAGCGAATTCAGATAAGCATATTTGGCATTAGTTAGACGTGCGAAAGATGCACATTTTAATTAACACCCAAATGCTGAGCTAGCCGCAGCAGAAAGTTTTGGACAATGAAGGTTTTTTGGAACCGTAAAGCGGCGGAGAAACAGAGCAGATCGTGGGACTGTCGCCAAAATACCTTGAAAATATGTGGCTACTTAAACAGGGAGGGACAACAGATTGCGGGAGATATTATACGAACTGCATGCAGCGAGAATTTGCTGACTGTGGTGCCGATCTTTGTTCACTGCCGGTGATCTCGTGTCCTATCGTAGAGAAGAAACGAGGGGATGGCCTGTGTCAAGGAGCCATGATTATTGAGATGGCATACTCCCGGCAATTCGCTACCAAACGGCATCCGGAAGGTCAGCTGGATTTTTCCACCAAACTTTGAGGCAAATTCCGGGCAGCGGTGAGGGCAGAGGGTTGAAGAAACTAATGAACAGCTAAGTCTCTGAGATGTCATCTGAGGAATTCTACTGCAAACCTCGAATGATGATTCGAGGAAGGTATATTGTTGGGCTCGATCGTTTTCACTTCCTAAAAGGCTGTAACCAACGAGGAAGGGTCCAAAGGTTAAAACACCGAAATATTTAATTCGAGATTCGACCAGAATTCTTCTAGAAAATCCTTCAAACAAGGTACCGTGAACACCCTTTTTGGATTTGACACCAATTGATCCCTGCAAGAGAGAGCTAGACCAAGGAGGGTCGGGAGGGGATAAAGCCGCGTTTCGTGTGATTCAGGCAACAGGATCAGTCAGTCCTTAGTTTTGAATGCTTGCCTCCGATTTGACAACAGGTTGTTTCACGAAAGGGCGCCTTGAACGACATTTTGCACGGTAGAGTAATCGTGGAGGGGCATTTTCCGGCAACTTCAGAATGCACAACGCTTGAGCCTGAGGGTCCATATGGGTCCGGGTGAGAGTACCAGACGAATTCCAACGGTCAGAAGAATTTGGGCGTGAGAAATTTTTGAACGTAGTTGTGACTTTCGAACGAACTGTGTAGGTGTCCACATTTCTATACTTCGAGGAATACTTGGGAGATTAGTTCAGTCGCTAGGTCGTCGAAGGATTTTGACCCGCCTGGTTGGCTCATATTGGAAGACAGCAATGGCCTAAACTTCCACAGGGTTTGCGCATATCGGAGAAAGAACTCGAGTCGTTGTAGCCATCGATGGGCTTTGGACCTTATTCTCCATTGTGGTGAGATTTGGCTTCCAAGACAGTAGCACCGGTATTAATCTTTATTAACCCAGCGCCGAGTGCCGTGAGTATCCTGGTTGAACTTAGCATTTATAAAATACGGCGCGCCAAACCAAGTCTGAGATACCCGGGCTGTTTGCTCTAGGATTGGGTGAACGTAAGGTTGAAGTGAACTGGGCTTCAGAGGACTTCGTGTTGATCTGATGATAGTACGAATAAAGATGACCGGCATACACATTTACGACCGTTCACCCCGGAAAAGTATCACTGGTAAAGTGAAATTAGTGAAAACCCTATCTCCGGTGAGTAGTGTCAGTGGCAACTGACCCCATCCTCAGTATCAATCGCATCTTGAATATGAGGCTGGTGTCCATTTCTGAAGGCAGTAGGATGCTTTGTGTTTTTTATGTCGTCTATTAGAAGGGACGTTTCGGAGGCAAACCTCAAAGTGAGACTAGAAAGAAGTCGTAATTTATCATTTAAATTCTGGAAAAATGTAGCCCCCAAGCATCAGCCACGGCGAACTGGAAATAGGATACAAGAGCTCGGTAGGAAAACAACACCGCTGATGGTAAACATTTGCACACCCACGAAGGGCTAATCACTATGGGTTTTTCCAGGTTACCATTGAGTGAGCAACAAGAAATGGATAAATGAACCTGGTGTGTGACATGATTGCCCAGGGCTAGGGGCACACATCCGCAGAATAGCCCCGGAAGGAATCATGCATTCTGACATTGCCCAATATGGATGATTCCTCTGAGTTGGTCGTGTATGTTGTTGGAAAAAGTCACCCAAGGGAGTAGTACGTTTGCACACGAGTTACGTGGGGCCTTGTAATTCTCGGATTTGTCATGAATGATTTGCACTCAGTGTTTGTTTGACAAGTCAATATGCTTACTTAGGTTGAATGAATACGAAATAAGGCGGAATAAGGATAAGTAGAAGGCAAAACACATTTGTAGGGGAGTTAGGCTTAGAAGAGTTTTCGTTGTGGGTGGAAGGGTATGAGATTGACATTTAGCACAACACATTTTGGGAAGTTGGTGGCAGCTGTGTGGGTTATTACCCCTGAGAATGGTTTGTTATCCCGGATGACCCGTCCTGAGTGTGCGAAGAGCTACCATGAAATAAGGATGGCTTTGGGTGGGCGTCGGATAAAGGGGCAAAGAGGTTGTGACCCTCTGTTCACTTGGTAGGGAGACTTGATCAGGTTCCGGATTTTCCCGTGTTTGAGGACTCAGGGGAGGGATCGTTTTAACACAAGATTTGTGAACACAGTTTGCTGCTAGCACCGACTTTCCAGGGCATTCAGAAAACACCGGTGAATTGCCAGTGAATTAACAAAATCCCTGACTGGGGCGTAACTTTACAGACACGGAGCGTCGGGGGATGATTTCACAGACGATAAGATGCGGATGGATCTGGAAGATTGGGGAAAATCCTTCGATTTCGTATCACATGGAGCAGAGAGGAGAAGAAGGTTCTTGATATGGCGGTTAGAGCCAATGAGATTTTGCATTATAACGCACAGAATGCACCGGATGTAACCTTATTGCACCTTGCAACAACACAACCAAGTAGAAGAGCAATCTAGATATGATTCGGACGGTTGTTACGGTCACCTTGGGCAGGTAACTCGTGGGCATCAGAGCAATGAACTCGGAAATGATTAGACTCGTCCAGCAAAATCCCCGACAGTTGAAAACCTGGGCCTATGAATATAAGCAATATCCTATCTACGGAACGAGTTACCTCGAATAGTTGTGCTGATGGCTCCCTGTATGTAGATTAGTTAATGCCCTACTGGAACCCGAAAATTCGTTATATGAACGGAAAAAACGGGGAGCACTAACAATGTCAGCTTGTTGAGTAAAATTATTACAATAGCTACATATGCGAACAAGAGGCTTATCGTATTGCAGATACAGGACGGTAAATCCTGTTGCAAGTCCGGACGCACGGTTTGTGCACTAACAAGTCAGCTTGTTGAGTAAAATTATTACAATAGCTACATATGCGAACAAGAGGCTTATCGTATTGCAGATACAGGACGGTAAATCCTGTTGCAAGTCCGGACGCACGGTTTGTGTTTTCTTCGCTGTTGTAACAGTCACACGTATTCCATGACTATCCGTGATTGAGGCGCCGCAAGAACTGAGCGGCTATGCTCCGAGTTGGGTGACGTGCATAGCTCTGTTGATTTGTGTTGCGTTGCTTTGCTGTTATCCTATGTGTAGGAACTTTGCGTGTGTGTGAGCTTCAGCAAATGACTCTTTTTTATCTTATCCGACGGTAGACAATCGATATCAGATGAGTCACCCTTGTTTCGCTTATCGGTCGGGTAGGGAAAAAAGGCGAGTCTTAGGATTTATGGCTTGACTGTGAGCTGTGCATCCAGGTTAGTCACAATTCTGTGACATGAATTTTGAGTGTAAGAAAAAACAGATCATGTAATCTGACGATTGGCGGTGAGCTGCACAGTCACGCATTTGGTGAAGGGATGGCTACAGATTACAACAGTAGGGTGAACTAGCAAAACTTACCTCGAAACCAGAATAGGTCGAGGGCCCCGTTCAATTAAAACTCCTCCGGTATCTGCAAGGAAGAATCTGTTGAGGTCTTGTTGAACATGTACAGTAGTATATTTTTAATGATACCGTAATATCATAAATAGGATTTATCGATCATTTTCTCGAATTAGCGAGCATCACTGAAGCTCGAAAATCAGATTATCGTAATAGTCACGGTTAGCTCCTGTTGGATGCCTTGCCGTGAACCATTCTTTGTTTGGAACTGACAGCACTGACACAGTGAATTACATGCTATAGTTTTACATTTTTGTTAATTTCGTGTAATTGCTTCCAGGGACGCTATGAAATCTTTCCGGTGTTTCGGAAGCTTTAACTCAACCTACCATCATGTGTCCTTTGCCCATCCTCACATAAGCCCCCCCCACATTTTGTTCAACGGAGACCCTTTGATTGGATCAGCCAAGTGAGCTAAAAATACTTCAGCTCCATGTCCAATTCACACTCTCATCGCCTGTAGCAACTGGCACAACGGCAAACCACTTTGCTCGCTACCTCAACGACTGTCTTCACCTTTCCAAAGTGACGCAACAACACTCGCCCTAGCCTTGCGAGTGCTGATCGTGTGACGCTCCTTGCAAACACGAAGCACAACATTTTGCATCGGCATCTTACTGTACTGCACGCGCGCAGGGTAGGTGCCCATTATTGCTGATTTGTTGTGTGGTCATATTATATGGGCAACCCCAGACAGTCCTTGGTTGCTAGGTCGGCTAACAAAGGCCTACACATTTATAGGTACATTCGACTTGCTGTCATGTCCTTTAAATCGTTTTTCTATTGAAAACCGCTTTATCTGCTGCCCCCGGCATTCACCAGAGGCTACTGTTCTCATCCCCATTCCCTAATTCTCAAGCTTCGAACTTTGGTAGTAGATCCTGCAAACGCTCTACGTGGCACTCAATCATTCGTTATAGCTGGTCCCCGGTTGACAAACACATTTTTTCCGAATGAATTGGAATATCTCGCCACCTGGTTTTATCTGTGTCAGTCCTCTTGTCTTACCCAGATCCAGCCGCCAGAGAAGTTCGCTTTTTGTCCGACTACCGCAACACTGACGCCCGGGGCTGACTGACGGGGCTGTCCAGAGCCAAAGTAAATCAGTACACTACCATCTTCATTCAGATGGCATTCAGGCAAATATTTTCCCCACCTTCGCCATTCACCTCTCGTTCACTCGAGCCCGTAATTACAAATGCGAACACAGTTTTCACCCGGCCAAAACCTCCTCTGAGTTCGTTCACTGATCTTTTCATTCGGATTCAACTAACTATCACCCCACCGCAAATAACCTTCACAACATACTACACTGCAATGTCTACTAAGTTCAATTTAAACAACAGTTTTGAGACAACAATTGCCACTCGTCTTGATTTAGAAATCGTCAATCTCCATTTTACCTCTTGCAACCCTCGTCATTTGCTTAAAAACCCGAGGTCATTGTTGGCTGCAGCGATTTTTCAGCTTCAGTTTAAGTCAACCGGTTTCATCATTGAACTAGTTGTACTTCATGCACGTTGTTCTCAGTTTTTTACACAAATGTGGTGACTTTACACGTGAAAAGTGTGTCTGATCGGTTGTATTCTCCTCCAGTTGTGTCGTTGCCCGCAGACCTCAAGTTTGAAAAACCCGAATATGCTTTGCTTGACACAATCCGTACAAGTTGTGAGATAGACCTATTACGTGTGAGTTCGTTCGCCCAACAGCAAAACCTGTTGGCTAATCGCAGTATGTCTTGTTTTAAAAGGTTGAAGGCGCAGGAAACTATGGATAGGCTGCATTCATGTAGATGCCTTACCTTGTATCTTGGGTCCCCATGGTCAACATGTTTGGCACCGACATTACAGGAATTTGTTTTACGCGTTATTCCAACAATATGTAAGTGCATTCTGGAAAAATGCTGGCTAGACAATGAGGTTAAGGAGTTGCATGCACAATTTAAAAACAAATATGTCCTCATTTTGTAGAGGTTGATATTCGCTTACATAATATTAAACTTGATGGAAATAACTATTCCTCAGATGCCAACGTTTAGCGAAACAAGTCGGTGTGTCACTGAGCCCAGAATAACTGACTCCACTGAGCCGAGACAAACATTACATTTGTTACCCAACATTCTCGACCACCGGCGAATGGTCGCTTAATGCTGACGGTGGTTATTTTCTCAGGGGAATGTACCCCCGTGTGATCAATGAATAATCGCATTTGTGACTCAGCGTTTTCAGTAGAAGAGTTTTATACGCCCTCCTGTTAAGTTGTTCCCACAGGCCAAACGTAACGCCTGTGGCCTGAAAGTGTGAATGAGTGATATAATTTACCTGGAAACATTTGATGATGGGCGAATGACCTGGGAAAGGGCCTATGCATGATACTTCTCATTGTCTGTAAAATAATCGATTCTGAGTACCAAGAGGACGTGAATACAAAAGAGCAATTTTGCCTGAGAGAAGGAGCAATTATTTTTACCAGCGATGGTGGCAAGCATCTGAGGACATTTACGAAGTTTTACCGGAAACTGAGTAATCAGCAGAGATTCGTCACACCTTGAAGGTTTTGATACAGTTGTATCGAAGTCCCAGGGGTATGATCTCAAGTGCCTCATAACAAAAGAAATTGAGATGTAGGCATTTGTCAAACGTATTTTGGAACGTTTATCATCTATTACGTTGACAATGAAATTCCCCACGTTCATTCTGTCCCCATATGTAACCCCGTCCCTGTTTTGCGTTCAGTGTATATATAGGAACTGGCGTTCGTCATCTATTACTTGACAATGAAATTCCCCACGTTCATTCTGTCCCCATATGTAACCCCGTCCCTGTTTTGCGTTCAGTGTATATATAGGAACTGGCGTTCGTTCGTCCTTACTACTTCACCTTTTTGCGGTTGAGGTCATCCGGCTGTTTGTAGCCGGCTTTGCACGTGTGACTGTCGCACATGGGTGCCTGTTGTCTCCCTTGCTTTGTACTTTTGTAGTCCAAGTGGACCGTTTGTTTTGGACGCGTATCTACTGTCGAGGTTTGCTTTCTTTGTGACTTTCTCTTACACTAATAGTACCGCATACAAGCCCAGCTTCAACTTTGTTTTGCTTACCCGGAGGTTCTGGTATTACGCGTCACTCGAAGATACCGTTCGACCGTTGAAGTACTCGACAACTTACGCCATCTTGTTCGAAATGAGGATGTCAACTTTTGGAACAATTTTGAAAGAAACCAGATCCAAGGACGCGGAAACGATTGAAGCTGCGAAGGAAACCACTGCAATGCAGTTTGCTTCGTGCCCCGGTTCTTGTAAGTCACTATGCGCTTCTAGTTGTAAACGTAGTGTAGCCAAGAAAGCTTTAAGGGTTGCTCAGCTTCAGGAGTGTCGGGTTAAGCGAGCGATCGTGCTCCAGCGGGCTCTCTTATGGGCACATAGCAAAACTGAGTCAGCTAACATTGAGCTGGAGGCACATGAGGACTCACTAGATGAAGTCTGGGAACCAGTGGCCTCAGGTGAGCGATTGATGGGGTACATGAAACAATGTCAGATAAATGAAAAACCTCTATGATATGCCAGTGATATCAGAGGGCCGTTTTCGTCACTCTAATGTCAGCCACTATGGACCCATCAAAGGTGGAACTATCATACTCTGATGGTAATCCGTGTCATTGCTGGAGGTTCACCCGCCAATTTGAGGTATACATTGAGAGAAAGGTGCAGGACGCCGGTCAGAGACTCCTTCATCTAATCCACTACTGTCCAGGCGACGCGAAGGCGGCCATTGAAGAATGTGTGATGCTCCCGCCGGAAGTAGCGCACCCCAGGGCTCAGGAGATTCTACACAATCTCTTGGGTCGCCCTCATATTTTCGCTCGCTGTCTACTAGAAAGCCTGTTTCGTTTTGCACGGCAGACCACTGGAGCAGCCAAGTCTTTGTCGGACTTGTGTATAAAAATGCGCAGTTGTGAAGTCGCGCTGACGCAAATGTGTTACTTCTCAGACTTGCACTCACTAGCGGTTGGAGAGAGAATTGTGCGTTCTCTTCCCTCGCCATTGCAGCACAAATGTGTTGAGGCGGCAGGTAAGATATCTGTGAGTGGCCGGGACCCAACTTTCAAAGATTTGAAGGAGTCTGTGAACACGCGCTCTGGAGTTGCAAGGAGTCGGTTTGGGCAACTGGCTCGAGAGGGGGAAGTAGGACGCCCCCCTGAAATGGTGACCTCCACCAACCAAGCCCCTAGACGGGAGGGTTTTGCCAGCTTCCCAACCATCATCTAGCCAGACGGTCATTCAAGCGCTTGCGCATTATGTTCACCCAATTTCCAGTTACCAGCGCTTTTTGTCTGTGAAAGTTCCTGACAGATGGAAGTGCATACGGGAGCAGGATGCATGTTTTGCCTGTTTAGGAGTCTCCCACATGGCCGAGGATTGCAAGATAGTAGTTTGATGCGGCCAGCCAGGTTGTAGGGGACGACATCATAATTTACTACATACATCGAACACCGGAAAAAAGCTTCGACGTCCATAGAGGCGGAGGTTTTGTGTGCCTCAACTCGAGGTAGTCGGCTTCCAGCACGCCTAGGAGTTATCCCTGTCAAGCTTGACAGTCCTGCAGAAAGGGTGACAAAGTATGCATTTTAGATGCTGGGTCCGACATAACGCTAGTAAAGTGGGACCTCTTGGTGAAAAACGGGGTCAGGCTGCTACCTACGCCTATGGGCATCGATATATTGGGTGGCCCTGTGAGATGCACATCGGAAGCTAATGGCATCAGGCTTTTATCAATGGATGAAACCCAGTCGATAGATATTGACAAGGCATTCGTCGTTGACAGCTTACCTATGCGAGTTGTCCCATCTATCAAAGAAGCGGCTCGCAAGCGGCCTCACTTTATGGAAGTTGCCATCGACGAACTGACTGAAGACGATGCAGGAATCCTTATTAGTTGTGACGTATCCGAAGCGCACTGCGTCTTCGACCAGCTCCTGGGGGGGGCAAAAACAGCCGTTTGCTGTGAAAACCTTACGTGGTTCTTGGTCCGATGAAAGACTGGACAAAGCGGAATGTCGTCAGTCATTGTATAACTGGGTGCACTCAGGGCATCCAGGAGCGTTAGCAACGACTGAACAAATCGGGATTCGCGGCCAATTCAACATCGAACGCCAGTCCCTCTGTAGAGTATCAAACAGCACTGTTGATAACAGAGATTTGTGCGGTGCGAGTAAGTAAGCGAGTAAGTAAGCACTATCAGTTACCGCTCTCATTTAATGACAACGCACCTGCCCTAATCGATGACTTCCAGGTGGCTAGAAAACGTCTAGATAATCTGAAAACTAGACTGTGCAAGGCTCGTGTTTCACAAGAGAAAACGATAAGGTGTTTCGCGCATACATGGAGAATGGGTACATTGAACGGGTTGCAGATGCCCTCACATTGTCATAGATTAGATGCAGTGGTATCTCCCACACCATCCGGTTATTAGCCCAAAAAAGGCAGAAAAGATTTGGGTTGTATTTGACTGAGCTGCCAAATGACATGATGTGTCCCTGAACGATCACCTGTATCAGGGTCCTGATTTAACCATAAAACTTGTAAATGTTATGCTGGGCTTTAGTTTAGAGCAAGTTGCTGTGGCAACCGACATCAAAGAGATGTTCCTACAGGTCACGGTTAACATCTGTGATAGAGGTGCTCTGAAAAGCCTGGTAGCATGAGCTAACCGATTGGAGGAAAATGATGTCAATTGCCCATTTATATATCGGTTCTATTGTCGGATGAAGCTACAGAAAGTCATGTCTTGGTTACTGCGTAACAGGCGGCATCTCTTGAGTAGGACGGGCAGAGCGAGAAAAGAGGCTTTACTTTCCGCTATTATTAGAGTATCCGAACTCCGCCAAGCACGTAATTGTTTGATAAGGACCGTGCAATCCAGTCACTTCGCGCAAGAGCTGCGTCAGACTAACCATTCCAGCTTAGAAAAATTGTCACCTGTTTTGATCGGTGGCATTTTGTGCGTGGAAGGCAGACCTAGCTACTCGAACTACAGTCAGTCAGTAAAACATCCAGCTCTTTGGAGCCGGCATCCTGTTACTGCCTTGATCATACGTTACCTTCATGAAGTAGAAGGGCACTGTGGAATAGGGCAGGTCCTGGCCTCTACTCGACAGCGATACTGGACTAACAGTGGGACCGGCGCCGTCAAACGAGTGATTGGTGAGTGTTCTTTATGCAGGCGCCGGTCCGCACAGCTCGGTACACAAATGATGGCTCCATTACCGGAAAACAGAGCAGGAGTGGGTTGGTCCTCCTTCGAGTGCGTGAGAATGGACGACTTTGGACCTTTTAAGACCAAACGCGGCCGTTTGCAGGAAAAACGCTATGGCTCTATCTTTGGCTGTCTGAAGACTAGAGCAGTCCGTTTGGAAATGGCAGGCATCTTGTCGAGCGATTCAGTCCTACAATGTTTGATACTCTCCGTTGGTAGACGTGGCAAGCCCACCGACATCTACAGTGATAATGGTAGGAACTTCGTTGGTGCGCTAACGGAATTTCGGGATGATATAAAGCGGTGGAGTCCGAGTAAAATATCAGACCGGCTTTTGACTATGGATATACAGTGGCACTGCAATCCACCAGCAGCTAGTCACCGTGGTGGTGTTGGAGCGTATAATCAGGTCAATACGACGTATCCGTTTATGCCTCTGCAGGGAACAGTGTTTGACCGATGAACAATGAACACGCTCCCTATAGAGGCACAACGAATTCTGACTAATCGACCTACAGTCCCGCTTTCACAGGCCAGCAACGAGTTGCTCACGCGGTGCTGTTCTGCGGTAATCCGTCGCGAGGGTTTGGACCCA